CGGTTTAAAAAAAACTAAGAATTATTATGTGAAAATGGTGCAATTTAGCAATGAGGAAAAAGTAGACATGTTACTGGTGTTTGGAGAATGCAGATCCAATTGTAGAGAAGCAAAAAGAGTTTACGCACGGCGTTATCCGCATAGAAGAGTCCCCGATGCAAAAACCTTTTCAAGTTTATGTAAAAACTTAAGGGAATATGGCAGCTTCATAAAACCTAAAAGAGATAGGAACAGGACGGCCCCAAGATATCCCTATCAGAGATAAAAGAAAATACCGGTGTTACCATAAGTTCTTTGTGGAGAATTCTACATAGAAACTCTTTTCACCCGTACAAAAATAAACTAGTTCATAAACTAGAACTAGGCGATTATGCTAGAAGAATGTATTTCTTAGCGACATTGTCCGATTTGTATAGCCAAGATGCAAATATTCTCTCGAAAATTTTATGGAGCGACGAAAGTCGATTTCAAAATAATGGAATCGTTAATAGACACAACTGTCGTTTTTGGTCCGAAAACCATCCTCGTTGGATTACAGAAATAGGTAACCAACGAATTTTTAGTATCAATGTTTGGTGCGGCATATTAAATGGATTCCTTATTGGACCTTACTTTTACGAAGGAACTTTAAATGCAGATCGCTATTTAAGATTTCTTCAAACTACACTTCCGGAACTATTAGAAGAAGTGCCTCTTGACACTAGAATGAATATGTGGCTACAGCAGGATGGAGCGCCTGCACATAATGCCCAAATAGTAACGAGGTATTTGAACCGAGAATATCCCAATAGATGGTTTGGTAATAATGGACCGGTAAGGTGGCCGGCGAGGTCCCCGGACATTACACCACCAGATTATTTTCTTTGGGGCTACCTAAAAAACGTTATCTATGAAGAACCTACCGAAGATATGACTGATCTCATTAACAAAATTAGTGCAGCGTGTGCCGCTATCACAAGAAGGACTCTCCTACAAGTGACCCAAGCTAATCTGTTAAAAGTTTTTGATAGTTGTGTTCGAGCAGATGGACATAATTTTGAACAAAATTTTTGAAATGTCTTATTATGTAGTTAATTGCAATAATAATTTTGGTTATTAACTTGTAGGTATTTTACTGTTTTTTCATTTATTCATCATGTTATCAGAACTAAATCGATAAAAAATAATAAATAAAATCATACTAAAATAGTTGAAATCTGTTGTTTGTAATTGCACTTAAAACAACTGCGATAACAATGGTTGCCATAGTAACTAACATTCATGGCATACTTGTAAAAATAAGCGTTAATCACATTTTTTATTAATCAAGAAATGTTTACCTTAAATCGGTATAACTTAGAAACGGGTAAAGTAAATAAGTTTGAGTAAATAACAAAAAAGTTTTTAAATAATATGTACTTTTGTATCCGCGTATTTCCAAAGTCTCTGCAATCGAATAATTTTTCGACGCGTCGCGACGCCCAGCTCTTTGCAGGCGTCGAATTTTTTAAACTTTAGGAAATATCAACTTGACCCCACACTTTGACTACTTTTTACATAAATTAAATATTTCTTTTCGTTTTGGGGTTATTGGCGTGCGGAGTTTTAAGTGAAAAACCCTGTATATATATATATATATATATATATATATATATATATATATATATATATATATATATATATATATATATATATATTCTCACGTATTGATTCACGGATGGAAAAATGTGATGACACTATATTCCGGGATATCATCCGTTCGCTCGTTGAACTCCGACTGGAATCCTGCATCCGACTGGAATCCTGCAAATCTTGCATCCGACTGGAATCCTGCAGACGTTTCGCCAAAATCTCACTTGGCATCTTCAATGCTCGCGAGTGTTCGAAGTGTTTTCGGAGCGCGAGCATTGAAGATGACAAGTGAGATTTTGGCGAAACGTCTGCAGGATTCCAGTCGGATGCAAGATTTGCAGGATTCCAGTCGGATGCAGGATTCCAGTCGGAGTTCAACGAGCGAACGGATGATATCCCGGAATATAGTGTCATCATATATATATATATATATATATATATATATATATATATATATATATATATATATATATATATATATATATATATATATATATATATATATATATATATACAGTGTGTCCAAGATAAGGATGCACAGCATGGGGATCTCGGAAACTATAAGAGATACAGTGTCGGTTAAATTAGACAAAAGTTGCGCATTTTGATACCGAACAAGATCCCGTTTTACAAATTTGAAAATTCCAAGCCGTTCCGGAAATATCCGAGAAAAACCGAAATATTGCGATTTCGTTTTTATTATTTTTTAAAGCTATTTGAAAAGATATGAAAAAACGGAAAACACTTTTCCATTGGCACTTTTTAATCTCTCCAAATTGACGTTAACAAATTTTCATTACAGCGTTTCGATTCCATGGAACCACCATCAACTTTGATTTTTCTTATGGGACGGAAAAAAAGTACACACAGTATTAGGTTGTGCTTTTCATTGCGAATTCAACGATGTACGATACAATACGGTTACTTATGTTTTTATCCAGAAAAATGGATTTTTAATACATTTCAGCATTTAAATGGAGTAGGCCATGACAAAATGACATCCAGTCAATTTCAATGACACATTAATGTTATTTGTCTTTGTTATCAGTCGATCATAAGTTTATTCCTTTAGTTATTGTTTTTGTATTTTTATTGTTGTTGTCTTTTTCTAATTTATTTTGTTCTACAATGGAGGGAGGTAATTTTACAAACGAAGAAAAATGTGATATGCTGTCTTGCTACATCTGATGCCAAAGAAATTGTGTGGAAGCCGAGCGTATGTATTCTAACAAATACCCAGAGCGGAGACAACCTGACAAGAGTATTTTTCGGCGTTTTTTATTTAATCTGAAAGAATATGGATCATTTAAGAAGCCTGCATTATCCCGACAAAAACCTTCCAATGAAGAAAACCAATACATTGTTCTACAATCTGTTATCGAAAATCCACAAACTTCTACCAGAGAAATTGAAGACCAGAATGGGGTAGCTAAATCTACAGCTCAGTTTATTTTAAGGAAAAATGAATTTAAGCCTTACAAATTCAGAATATGTCAAGGATTAAAACCGGGTGACGACGAACGACGTAGACATTTTTGTGAGTGGTATACCAGGATGTGTGATGAGAGTTTTAATTTTCCATATAAAGTGATTTGGTCTGATGAAAGTATGGTGACCAATAACGGTATTTATAACAGGCGCAATACACACTATTGGTCGCAACAAAATCCACGTGTTTATAGACTATCCAGACATCAAGTTCGCTTTGGGTTTAATATTTGGTGTGGGATTTTTGGTAGCAAGATTATAGGCCCTATTTTCTATAATAATTCCTTAACTTCCGAGCGGTACCTTGACATCTTGAGGCACGATTTAGAAGATGCCTTAGATGATTTACCGCTAGGCGCTGTGCAAGGCTGCTGGTTCCAACAAGATGGTGCCCCAGCCCATAACTCCAGAGAAGTTCGCCAATATTTAACTGAACGGTTTGATGGAAAATACATTGGGACTTACAGTGAAACACCTTGGCCTCCAAGGTCCCCGGACTTAACTCCCTTGGACTTTTTCTTATGGGGCTACATAAAAAATGAGGTATTCAAAGAATGTTTTGACAACGAGGAACAATTACGTCAATCAGTACGAGCAGCGTTTAATAAAATTACTCCTGAAATGTTAAGTCGTGTTTTGGAGTCTACCGTGAGACGGGCGTACTTATGCCTAGAAAATGGAGGTCATTTATTCGAACATTTGTTATAGAATTTGTTTTTCATTAACTTGTTGGATTTAGTTGTTATGTTAAATGAACAGTTAGAGTTAGTAAATAAATAAACACATTAACTCGAACTTGTCAACCATTTTCTTTTGCCTTTCATCGTTCGGATCTCATGGCCTACTACAATAAAATACTAGAAATGTATTAAAAAGCCATTTTTCTGGATAAAAACATAAGTAACCGTATTGTATCGTACATCGTTGAATTCGCAATGAAAAGCACAACCTAATACTGTGTGTAATTTTTTTCCGTCCCATAAGAAAAATCAAAGTTGATGGTGGTTCCATGGAATCGAAACGCTGTAATGAAAATTTGTTAACGTCAATTTGGAGAGATTAAAAAGTGCCAATGGAAAAGTGTTTTCCGTTTTTTCATATCTTTTCAAATAGCTTTAAAAAATAATAAAAACGAAATCGCAATATTTCGGTTTTTCTCGGATATTTCCGGAACGGCTTGGAATTTTCAAATTTGTAAAACGGGATCTTGTTCGGTATCAAAATGCGCAACTTTTGTCTAATTTAACCGACACTGTATCTCTTATAGTTTTATATATATATATATATATATATATATATATATATATATATATATATATATATATATATATATATATATATATATATATATCCTATAGACCAATGCAAGCCTAAATAGCTTTTTTGTGCAATGATTTTTGAGAACTATTACAAACAAGAATGAGACGGAGACAGATTGAAAAATTTGAACCGAGACTTATGTAGAAATTACGTATTCGTGACATTTCGATCATCTAATGTAAAAATCCGGGGCTAAATTTTTCAGTTTTTTCCTGTTTGTGTAAATAGTTCTCGTTGTTTTTTTAGTAGTTTTCGTTGTCTATTCTGTGTTAATCATACGATTAAAACCTTTGTTCAAAATGAATTAAAATACTAGTAGTTCACACATGAGAATGATTTAAAACCTCAAATTACATCAAAATTGGTGCACAATAAGCGGTACCATCCGTTTGAAATTTCAAAATTTTTCCTGCAATAACTTTTATGGCCGGACCGCTACTCGCCCAAATTTCTTTTAAACCGTTTCAGAAATAATCGAAGAAAAGATTTTTTTGTTGCGTCTTTCACGGGGGCGTATCTCCCCGGACACATGTTTATTAACCAAACTATCTCTATTTTTTATTTATAATGAACAAATTTACCTGAAAAACGCGGTTTGTGACGCCACAACGAACAACACGCAGGCCAATCCCATGGTAGTAGAACCCACCACAAAGTAAATGAATCCCGCATCTATTACGGACGATGAACTGATGATGGACATTATTCTTATGGTTGACGTGAAAATCCCAGCCAACCCCTGGCTGACCAAAAAACACTTGACGTAATTCGTCGGAAAACAGGTAGCTAGAGTTATGCAGCCGACTGAACCAATGCTCATCGCCACTAAAACAATTTAAAAGAAACGAATTAGTAAGCCATACGTGTACACTGAAAAAAGATATAACTATATGTAGAATAGTATAGAATAGCATTTATTCGTCGTAAAGATATTTAAATTTTAAGTCTTCGTCAATAGGTAATAGGTAAAAACACGCAACAAAATATCATACTTAAATTATATTCACGGCTATAATGGCTAAAAACATTCGTTGGTGCTGAAAAAAGTATCTTCAAATTTGATTAATTCTAAACTACGAATTTGTTTGGGGAGTTAGTTCTTAAAAAAGGTGTTCCATATCAATTTAGTGTATTTTAGTCTATGATTACAGGAATATTGTGTAACGTAATTGATAATAATGATGATAATAATGATGTTTTATTGATTCATATAAATGACAAGCACATGCGTTGAACAAGTCAAGAAGCAAAGAAAAAAATAAATATGAAAAATTGTATAAAATACAGCACAATTTCACAAAATTTTAACACATAGGTATAAAATAAAGATACATAATTTAACAAGTACTTTGTAAAATGCTTGCACTCCCTACGTCTCCGAAAAGTAATCTTTAAATTCATGATAACAATACCTGTTGCTGATCTATCCTTATGGCGAAATTTTTAAATTTCCGGTGAAATGAAAATAGAAGACTAACCTTATCAGTGGACACATGCAACGGCAAATGGTTTTTAAACACGAAAAATAAGAATGGACTCAAAGTACCAGCCTGAGGCACTTCAGTGTCGACGTCGTGTTCAGGCGAATAAGCATTAAGATATGACGCAATTCAGTCCTCAATTTTGGATAACATACCCATAGTTTAAACCTTAGAGACAACGAATCCAAAATCTAAAACTCAAACGCACTCGTCGAGTCCACGAAAAATGCCAACACGTGCTTCCTCCTTTCCAGGAAGCCATTGATAAATTAATGGCTTTAGCTTTTTCTATAATTTTGGATATAGTACTCAAGAGAGAAATGGGCCTATAGTTTTCAAGTGACATGGGGTCATCTTTTTATTCAGATAAATGGAAACTTGAGGGGGGAAAAGTGGTACCCCCCTGTAGTACGGGAATTGGACAGACCTCCTCCACAATGTTTATTCAACTAACTAGCAACAAGGAAAAAAAGATACCAAAAGATTTTGTAATAGTGTTTCTGTTTAACCTCTAGTTTAATACTTTCCTTGTTGCTAGATCATTATTTTCCCAGCGTAAAAATTCTTTTCTTGGACCAGTAATATTGTAAATTGTATGTCGGTGGGATATTATTTACGTTTATGATTTTAATACTCTAAAGTCTTGTATTCATTTTTTAAGTTCTCTGTGTACCAAGAATTACTATCTAACAAATCGTTTATTAGCAATTTTTTTAACAGCTACTTTTCGGTAAAATTTCGAGAAATGTACGATACTTTTTTATCTACATTATAACAGCTACAGACAGTGTACTTGTTTTTAGCGACATATTTGCGAGCTATGACCAGAACAACTTATATTAATGTTCCGGAACCGTCCAGTATGTCAAAAAGGTTTTTTTCTTGCGGACTGTTAGTTAAAAAATTAATAATAAAATCGCCGCAAATTACTATTAGAATATCTAGTAATCACTCCATCCAGAATCCTACAAAGGTGAGCAAAAAATATATCAATGCTTCCATTGATTTCAAGGTTTTTTTGAATACACATAAATTAACATTTTATTTTTTCGGCAAAGGTTAAAAAATCACACACCACTTACACTTGACATTCTATATTAGGTATATTTCGCATAAGGAACTCTAAAGTCGTCTTTAGTTCTTATATTCACTAAGTGAATATTAATATGGATGAATCCCACTTTAATTCAGTACAGACACCATCTGCTAAGGTCACAGAAGACTCCAACAGGATAGTGTAATATGGTATTAGGAAAAGATCGCGTGGTTTAAAAGAAATTTTACAAGATTATCAGTGTTTTGGTGCTAAAGCAATCCATACCATAACTAAAAACAATTTGGCCTACAGAGTTAAAAAACGGATATATATTTTTAAGAGACAGGGATAAGTTTGTTTTTTTAGACAAACTGCTTTTCTTCGTGGTTTGGTTTGATTAAAGGTACGGTCTAAATTTAGTGCCTGATAATAAAATGTTTTTTCAATTTAATGCAATACACAGCGTAGCGTAGCGTAGTAATAACGCCGCTGAAACAAATTTGATCAAATTATTGCTGGTGTCAAAGTACGGGAAATGTTTACTACAAAATCTTGGTAAGTATTTTTCTGAAATACTCTGCTGCAAACATTAAATTGATTATATTTTCCACTTGTTGCACAACACTGGCATTCATTCACTAAATTCTATAATGTATCTTTGACAACACCCTGTATACAATTTTTACTTTTAAATCACAACAAGAATTAATTACTTACCGCTAATTACAACCAAACTTATCGACGTCATAAGGAAAAAAGTCAACTGATCTGAAACAGCGAAGATTACGGTCGTTTTCAGAAGTTACTCTGCGATTTTGCTTACAGTCGTCGGTGTCGATCTTTACCAAAACGGTTTGGAAACTTAATACTAAGACGACAGGAACCAGGAAGATTATGACTCTGGTCTGCGCTTTTACAGTGTGTCCTACGAATATGCTTAAGATGTAGACAAAAACCATCGGCGCCAACACAGCGAAAGCTTGCAACGTTGCAAAGTTTTTCTGAAGAAACGTCCTGTTGTTGGGGTCGTCGTGATCGAACGTGGTATTTCGGAACTTGTACATCCAATACTAAACGAGGAACGATCGTGTACAAATTCGTTGAAACTTAAAACTGGCTTACCTCATTTGCGGTGGTAAAAAAGGTGAGCGGCAGCACACTGACAGTTCCCAAAAAGAATAACGTAATAAGGACGAAATAGAATTTATCCTTTGAAACATTTTCGTCCTCAGCGGTTTTTCCAAGTTTTACTCCGAGTTGTTCTGTGGAATCCAAATTATACCCTGCAACCGATACGATAAAAACGCTTAGAACATAGACTTACCCTCTTGAATGTCCATTTTAGGAACTATATATTGTTCGATAGATGTCCGGTGATGACAAAACGGAATTGCTCATCATCACCGACACGCTATTTTAATAAATCAAAATTAATCGTTATCAATTTCATTTTTACATTGTATCCGCGATCACAATCAAGCGTCTGATGTAGACAACGTCTTACACAACGTAAATTATAATTCAGGTGAAAATTACTCATTTTTGGACTTTATTTATTTACCTTAAAACAAATCAGAATGTTGATAAGCAGTAGATAATGAAAAGTAATTTGGTCTATTCCTAAGGTCTAATGTCTAATTGTCTAATGAAATTGAAAATTGTATCTAGGCTGCTATGACCCACCTACTAGGAATAGGCCGACTGGTGTTGGGAAATACTCCAAATAAAATTTTTTCGTACTTGTCTTATAGCACTTTTATTAGAGCTTTTTGGACGAAGAGCGATAGTAAATAATACGCACCTTATACTTTACAATTTAACTTTTATTGCTATATAACAGTTTGAATCAATTTACATTTCTTTAGAATTTCCTTCTTCTTTTAAATTTAAAGTTACAGTTGAATTGAAGTTACAAATAAATTTTGTTTGTCAGTTTTGAAATCCGTGTTAAAAGCCGTCAAGATCTTTTTTTTTTAATTTAGCGTTAATTAAATCGTTTCCAAACGGTGAAAACCAGCAAGCCCTTATTTTAAAACTTCTGTCTTATTTCACTCCAGAAAAAAATACGGGTAAACCGCTTTTCCTCTAAAGTTGAAATTTGAAAAATGAACGAGTAATTTAAATTTTATGTAAAGTCGAAAATCTATATAAGTTCGTGATTTTTCGATCGAAAAAATTCATTCATTTTAATAATTACTTTTACTCGGCAAAAATTTACACGTAATCAATGGTATTAATATTTCACATGGTTCATTAATTGATGGATTAAAAAGGTTGAAATTTTGATGAAAAAATGCAGTATTTCAAGCCGTAAATATCTGATGGAACGAATGGCATTTTTGAGAAAATACATGAAAAACCAGAATGATACTTTTTCATTCAGCCGCAGTATTTTTAGACGAGACTTGGATATTTAGTAACGCAGCGCCTAGAAAAAGCTGACAACACAATTCTCTACAAACAGTTCGAGAAAAATATAGTGAAGGAGTTCGGCAGCTGTCATTTAAATATATTTATGTGAAAATCTGAACAACGTTTGTCCTTATTTAACTATTGTATTCATAACACTTTATTTCAAATTTCACCCGAAAAATGGATGAATTATTGTAGGCACGCAGACCGCCTGATAAGTGAGGCTTGGGAAGAGAAAAGTTGATCGATGCATCTAATATTCTCTCAGACTGCGAAGAAGATTATTTTTCCCATGATGACTAGTTTTTGTTCCCCTTCTTAGCTCTTTGCGTTTTGGGTTTTCGTTGTTTTTGTTGTTGAAGTATTGAATATTGAAGCATAAACCTATCTAATTTTGTCCGTTCGTATAAATACGCCGCCGAACCAAGTTGCCATGATCTAATTATAACAAAATAAAATAATAATATGTTCCTAAGTACATGGTATTTTTTGCGAGTGGCTGCTTTGTGACAGCGCTTGGAGAAGGTTATACCATTTATAGCACGATTACTAACGTCCACGTTGCAAAAACCCTTACAGAATAGAATTTTAATTTACTTTTTATGATTGCATGTTCGAACGTACCTACTTAAAACTAATGGATTAATTAAAATCGCAACGTATTTCAAAGTGGTAGCAATGTAGCTAAGACATACGGATCATCTTTGATTGAACTGCACAACTGCTCTTACTGGAGTTTACACTCATATCCTTTTTCTTAACCTAGTGGGTATTTTCTTTCTCGTTCCCTCCTAAATTAAAAGATATGGTCTGTTCATAGATATAAGAAAATGACCAATTGCTTTTGAATGGGATTATCCAAAGGTGGTCATTAATATGCAATGCAACAAGATTATTACCTAAAGTTTCGGAATTTAAATTCAGGTAAAATTGTGGTCAGTAATAGAAAATAATTTTATATCTACCCGTGTTTAATATTCTTTGGTTTGGTATACTACTTAGTTTAAGTTTATTAGTAATCATTCTTATTTCGTGTGTAGTACAGCGTGTGTTGAATCGTGTGCGAATTATGCAAAATATGTGCGAGTCTACTCTATTGAGACTAAGGAAGTTATAAACAATTTTTGACTCTCATTGAACGTGGTGCCAGCAAGTAAGCATCTTTTGAAGAAACGGCCACATTGACGAAAATTCCAACATCAACTGTATGGAAAATTGTGAATAATCCCATTTCAGCGAGGAAAAAAAGAAGCGATGCTGACATTTTCTGGAGTGTAGATGAAAGTGATCAAGATATGATACGTCGTAAAATTTACCAGTGTATTCAACACATGGGTTTTAGATTTTAAAAAATCGACAAAAGGCAAGTTTTAGTGTAATCTTTTAGAATTCGGAAATGCCGATTGGAATATCTAGAAAAAATTTGGATTTACAGAGAACAACAAAGGCCAATTATTTACTTGGATGAAACCTGATTCGACACTTATTATACACCGGAAAAGGGTTGGGTTGACTCAACTGATAAGTGTAAAACAAACGCGCCATTAAAAAGAGGTAAAGGAATAACTATTTTGCATGCTGGCTCTAAAGATGGTTGGTTTCCAAATGGACTTTCTCTGTCTGCGAAAAATATTAAAGATTCTTCTCTGAATTACCATGAAGACATCACCGCTGATTTATTTGAAAGTTAATTTAAAAACAAACTAGTTCCAAACATTCCTCCTAATAGCGTCAATGTAATGGACAATGCAAGTTATCACAGTAGACAGTTGACTAGAACCCCTTCCTCATGTGACACAAAAGCAACAATCCAAAAGTACATGTATAATAACGACATTTATTTTTACGAAGATTATACCAAAAAGCAATTAATTGAGGTTCTACAAAGCTTGAACCTACAAAAGGAATACGCCTGTGATTATTATGCAAAAAATCTAGGGCATACAGGTTTAAGGCTTCCACCTTACTACTGTATATTTAATTATTAAAGTATAGTTAATTTAACTCCAATGTCCTCAAATTTATAGTAACCGAAGTTTTTAACATCCCTCCACAAAGTTGGGCAAATTTTGTTAAACATATAGAAAAAGCAGAACAATCGTATATCGATATTGCAAATAATATAGAACAAATAATAATTAGAACAGGCGATGATAGTGATAGTGATACTGATATATTATGTGAATAATTTTAAGTAATTTAAGTAAGTAATAAAAATAATTTGTAATTTTAATTTAGATTTAAACATAAATACATACACAAATGAATAAATATTGTTTAGTATCTTTCCTAACAAAACCCCAAGTAATTAAATTCTAAGCAAAGTACGGACCTGTTCGGCCATATTTCATTCTTACAGCATGCCCGGGTCTTTCTTTAATTCGTATCAGTTAGTCACTTTCTTATATATATAAACAGAGTTTACCAAAAATATAGGGTATGTTACGCCACGTATACTAAGCCACCAAAATTTAAAATCTCTGCATCAAACCATTTAAAAGATATAGTGATCCCACTTCTTTGTGTCATTATTCTGTAAAGAGACTGGGAGTTATACATAGCGATTTATAGAAAAAAAAACTAAATTTAAGATACCAGACACCAAAATATACCTCATACAAATGTAGTTCGTTTTGGAGAGCGACTTGTCTCAATCTTTTAATTTTATTCTCAATTTTTTCCTTAATTTAGGAAGTTTTTATAGTGTAATAATAATTTTAGTTTAGTTTTAGTTTAGTTTAGTTTAGTTTAATTTTAGGTCTTTTTGGCATGACAATTTTGAAACTTATTTGGTAATTGCTCCTAGAGTTTTCCTTCCTTCCTTGTGTAAAATACTTAATTATACACCGATCTAGCCTGTGGGAAGCGTTACTTTACTATGTGAATGTCTTGTCCCAGAGATCCGAGTCACTTCGGACATTTCCGAGGTATTCTGACGGTCATATCATGGCTTGGAAGCAATCGGATGTTTTCGGATTTTTGCTTTAGTTATTCTACTAATAATTAACAATAGTTTAATGTATTATAAATGAACACTTTTTTTTATTGCTTTCACCTTCTTTTTTGCAATTTTTGAAGGTGGTGATCCTCTCAAATCAAGTAATATAAAAGTTCCTTGAAAAGAGTTACACTGAAGCATCTTCTGTCGGACGCTATTGTGCAATTAAAAAATAAATATTATTAAACTATTAAAAAATGCAGCATATATTTTCATTTAATTTCTTATTGTATTTATAAGCAACAATCTATTTTATTCTTTTCAATAAAGGCCTTATAACGACACTTTTTAGCGTTTGCTATTGTTAATTCTGTTACATCTACGGCTAATTGTTTATTGACTTGTTTTATACTAGTTTTTAATTTTATTGATTACATTTTCCAATACCTACAGTTTTTTTCTGCATTTACTAGACTAGACTAGACGGGCTATGAAAAAGTAGCATTCTGTATATACGAGATGCTTGTTGAAAATTTTTTTCACTTAGATGCTTCCAGTGCGATATCTAGGATCTCAAAGTTATATTTACACTTTTAAAGTCACATTTCAAACTAACCAATAAGTTTATAAAAGCAAACTGTTTGCGCCGATTTACGGGCACAAATTCGGGAAAAATTAGTTGGTATCGTGTCTATAGCGCTTAAAGAACAAAGATGGTTATCATTGACCAATTGTACACATTGACAAAGTACATTTAATGCCAAAGTTTGAAGGATTTACACACCTATTTGTAGATATTGGCATTTGAATGTACAAAATTTTTGTCTTTTTTCCACTCAAATTGCTAAAAGTTAGTTAAAAAAAAACAAATGAGGGCGTTAATGAAGAACTCTGATTTATTTAAGCAACCAACATTGTAAGAAATATTATTTATATGCTTTTTAGTCTTCTGGGTCACTGGTTTCTCTATTTGTAGTGGAATTGGCCAGAATTTCGGTATAGAAGGTCCTGTAGTCTTCGGGTATGTAATGAACTATTTTGGAAATATCTTCCAGCTTCTTATAATTGATAGGAACTTTGCCATTGTATACTTTTGAAATGGGAAGATCCACATTGTCTTGTTTCTTCATATCGAAAAGACCAAGGGTGAAGCCGTCAATGAAGTCACATGCTCTGATATAGCCTCTCATTGCTTGCGTATATGTTAGATGCCTGTATTTGCTTATGGTAAAAGACTGTTTTTTCTCAATATATTTGGCAGTCTTTTTGAAGTATTGAGGCCACCAGCCTTTAATTTAAGTATATCGGTATTTGTTAGCCGTTTTACTTGACACTTGGCATTTTTCTTCTTGGAAGACATAATGATATCGTTGTATTGTTCTGGAGAGTAAATTCGATCAAACTTTCGTAAAAAGCTCTTGATAACTTCAAATCTGCCATTCATGGTCAGGGCAGTAAACAACCTGGTTAGAGTATGGTTGCGGTTTTGCCCAGCGCACGCATCACTAAAAACATGAAGGGTTCTGACTTCTTTAGGAATATGTTGGATGATAAAGTCCAAAATGAACGTACTGACTTCATTAGGGCCTCGCTGAGCATCTCCCTCTGTATGAGTATAGAAGACCGATACATCGTTGCCAAGGCTGTGAACGTTAAAAACATAATAATAATAAGTTTTCGCAGATAGAACATTTCCTGAACTGGCATTAATGGAAGGGGAAGATTTTGCATATAATCAAACACTATGGCTCCAACGTCATTCCTCTCTTTACAGATCTCCTTGATTTCTTGAAATTTTTTGTAAAATTTGGATGCTTGTCTTTTATGAATCATAAGATCTGCAACTGCGCACCTCTTTGCTGTTTCATTAAGAGTAGTTGACTTTATTTTTGCATTCAAGTCTTCACAAGTTGAGCAAACGTCGACTTGAGACCTACCAAACCGGTATCCGTAGTTTTCCTGAAAATGTCTCAAATAATATTCATACTTGACGTGAGTTTTCAAATCAGGATTTTCATTAGTGAAGAGCTCATACATCTTAGTGATGTTCAAACTTGCATCTAAGTAGGTAATTAACTTAGAAGAATAGTGAGACTCTTTTTTTGGAAATGATTTGATATGGTCATCAATTTTGGCAACAATTGCCCCATCGAGTTTATTTCCACGATTTGCATGCCTTCCTCTCATGTCAAATGGTGAAGTTTCAGTTTCACGAAGCTTGGTTAAACGTTGTACGACTTTATTCGAGAGACCATGCAAACTCATGTACGCGCTGCGGCAAACTTCAACCCTGCACGTACCTTCCATAGCAAAATATTTGAAAGAAGAAGGATTTTGTCTAGACTCTGCTGTTGCAGGACGATGTCTGGCAACATCGTATCTTTGTATTAGTCCCATAAGATATGTATCTTTTTCATTTTTTGGCCGTCCATTATAAACAATTTCAATTACTGAACGTTTTTTTACATGATACATTTTTTACGGCACGTGCAATCCGGCCCGGTTATCTTAGCATTAACTACTTTACTTTTATGTGTTACAAACTGTGCTCCTCGTTGTCTAGCTAATTTTTCCCTTTCTTTTATGTGACATTTTTTGTTCAACTTTCGCCTTTTCCCTTCACGTTCTCCCTCTGAATCCGATGAATCTGACATTTGTACAATACAAAAATACAACTTTAATATTTCTATTTAACCATCATTAAATAAGCACTCACCTTCTACTCACTAAACTCTCAAACTTCAAATTACAGATAATCAAAACTTCACTAACTATTAAAACACCTGTTGTCTCAATGAAAATGCAAAACTATGTGAAATAATAGGCTCAAGACGCTAACGGTTGTAAACAGGGAGCGTAAATCATATTGCGCCGAAGACCGATAACATTCCAGGAATATTATCTTTTTTCCGCTCAACAACAATATTATTATATGAAGGGAGCCGGCGATTTTATCGTTTTTGCGCTCAGCAGAAAGAAAATACAAATTTTAATATATTGGGTATCTCACTTTAATTCGCCATATTTTTGGAATTTTACTCTTTTTCCAATCACTGATTCAATTATATTATCTAATAGCTATATGGTAATCACCAATACGACAAAGACCGTATAAAAACTCCAAACGAATTTCTGATGAGTTATTTTTTCCTATTCTTCTTCGAGAGACAATAAAAAAAAATCAGAAAGGAAATGAAGAAAACACTCAGTCACCAACAAAAAGTAAAGTGAATCCGTATAAGAAGTTCTAAAGTATGGTCCGAGATTATTAGATTGTGCAAAACTATAGTATTATTATTTGTGCAAAACGTATCAGATTGTATGGTATTCTGTAGTCGATTGTAACTGACGGTTGACAGTTCAGGAAAAAGACGGGATGGAGAATAAAAGTGCACATGTTTGAGTGTCGCATTTGATCAAGGACCGGTTGATAACAAAACAAACCACGTTTACTAGAACATTATATATTGCATTTCAGAAATCTCAGCAGATGAAGAGACTAAATTAAATTCAAAATGAACCTTGTTGAATATCGCACAGTCGCGTTTGAAAAGTCTCTTCGGAAAGATTACACTTTTCGTTGCGTCAACATTCGCGGCCTGTTTATTGATCGCCAAATAACAAAGGAAGTCTTATATTCTATTCATAACCTTATTGTTGGAAAACACCGAAAGATCATAAAATTAATAATAATAATAATAATAATAATAATAATAATAATACATTTATTGTTATAACCATCAAAGTTACATAGAAATAGTTACATAACTAAAGTTAAATAAGTGAAATAATGGTCAACAATAGGCCTTGTTAGGGCAGCCATCTAGAAGTTCTAGATACTGTTCAGACCTCAATTTAACAGCGAAAATATAATAACACAAAATTTCATAGAATTTATTTGAAAGCGCCAAGTGTAGATACACATAATTCTAATGAAAAGAAAAGAGAAGAAATGGAGGGGGAAGGAAAGGAAAGGAAAGGGGCACATGTTTTGTAGAAGAACTTAATATTAGTGCGTACGTAACAACTGCTTTTTGAAATTATTCCTAAACGTCGAGTTGGACTGATTAATATCAAAATTAGTAATAGAGTTAATGCAAATGGCTATATTTAAGGAATATGATCTTTTAAATAATTCTTTGCGGTGACGGGGTATAACTAGTCGGTGTCCACCACGCAGATTCAAATTGTGTTTTGATATGTTAAGAGTAATTTTTCTGTAAAGATAAAAGGGAAATTTTGTTTTAAGGATGTTGAAATAAAGGGAACTCATTCTTAATTTGCATCGAAGGTGCATATTAAGCCAACCCGACGCAGCAAGGTACGGGGAGATATGATCTCTCCTCCTTACCCCATAAATTTGCCTTAGACAGGAGTTTTGAACCTTCTGGACACGGTAACGATCGGACCCATCCAGGCACGGTCCGTACACAGCACTGTGATTCACACAGCAACTTACGAGTTCCCTGACAAAGTACATGTCTATTGCCATAAATTAGTTTATTAGTAATATGTTCTCTGAAACGCAACTGCGAATCAAAAGTGAGACCCAAGCTTTTGCATGACTCAGAGAGTGGCAATTTTATGTTATTAAGTTTAATTGTTATGTTATACTTTGCATGGGTTACATGATTATCATTTCCAAAGAGTATTACTGAAGATTTATTAGGGTTAAGCTTTAAGAGGTGATCTGTTGCAATGTTAAAAAAATTTGATAAATCAGTATTGATGACATCCTCCGCGGTAGCTATTTCTTGAGGAAAAAATGAGTAGTAAATTTGAGTGTCATCCGCATAAAAATGACAGTTGCATTGGTGGAGAGCTACAATGAAGTTAAAAGTAAAAATAGTGTACAACAAGGGACCAAGAATGCTGCCCTATGTAGACAACCCGTTGTGTCCAACCTGACAAAAAGGAACACAGAAACTTTCGAGCTCCTTCGGAGAAACCAAGGTAATGGAGAATGGCCAAGAGAATTGAATGATTTATCATATCAAATGCCTTACTGAAATCCAACAATATTAAAGCCGTCATCTTTCCATCGTCAGTCGCTCTAAAAATGTCATCAGTAATGGCACTCTCACAACTGTGATTAGGTCTAAAATCAGACTGTTTCTCTGGTAGAATATGATTAGAATTTAAAAAGTTTACCATTTGATCGTTCATAATTCTTTCAAGTACTTTAGATAGAACAGGCAATATGCTAATTGACCGCAGGTGACTAAATTCGCTTGGATTGTTTATTTTCGGTAAGGGGATGACTTGTGCCCGCTTCCATGTTGACGGAAAGTACGAATTTAAGATACAGTCATGTATTATATGCGTAATGTATGGGGCAATATATAGACAGCAAAGAAGTATTAATGATATATTTATTTCATCATGGCTCGCATCTTTAGATTTTATATTTTTCAGAATGTTGAGAATCTCATCTTCCGTGGACAATACAAAGTCAAAGTGATCCGTTCTGTCATTTAACCTATTATTATAATAAAAATTCAGCAGTTCTTGATTGGGGCTATCATTATTTTCCACACTGTTTATAAAAAAAATATTAATTTGATCGGCATTATCTAAGTGACTTGGCAAAGTACCCCTGTTACATTTTACAACATTAAGTTTCCTTAGTTCGTTCCATTTCTCTTTGGCATTACCAAGACAAAACTTAGTTCTTAAATAAGCTTTTTTCTCTGATCTAATGGCCGAATTTGTATAATTACGTCATTGTTTGTAATGCTCGTAATGTGCTGGAAGTTTAGTCAGTTTAATTTTTTTTAGCGCTTTATTTCTCAGCTTTTGTAGCAGTTTTATGTTTTCTGTTATCCAAGGCGCATAGTTATAGTTTTTATTCTTCCTAAAGCGTTTTAACGGCGCGTGCTTATTAAATAGTTCCAGTAACTTATTTAACGCTAAATCTAGTAGATCCTCTTAAACTCCTGAAGATTAATGGTTTTTAATGATCTATAATAAAAACTTACAGGTTCATTATCTGGCAAGTCTAGACTGAATTTTATGTATGTCAAAAAGTGATCAGCGATGTTATTGTCGACAACCCCTACATTAGACACGTTTTTTACGTTAGTAAATATTAAATCTAAGAACGACATGGAATGTAATGCAATGCGGGTAGGTTCTTGTATATATTGCTCCATATTGAAAGTAGAAAACACAGAAGTTAATCTAGTTCCAAGATCAGTATTTAAATTAAGCATATAATTCTTTTAAAGATTTGTTGCCTGCACATCTCTTAAATGTCAAGGTTAAAGATGGCGTTGGGTTTCCTTAGGCCAGATTTTACGAAGATTATTTATGTGAAATTTTATGATACTAATATGTCGGCGTCCTTTCATAGAGCGTCCTTATGTATATTTTTCATTTATTGCGCAGATTTCTGAGCGTCCGAGCAACGTTGCCCGATTGATTGTGTATTAAAGTACATAAGTACATATAAATAGGTATCGTCTTCAGAACACGCTTCTCCTTTTTAACATGACGGTGCACAGTCGAGCGGGTATAATGCGATTCATAATTTCGCTATATTTTGAAAAATGCTTTGTGGCAAACTGTTTTATTTTTTTATTTTATTATATTTGTTTTTGGTAGATTTGTTAGTTTTTAAAGCTCTTTACTAAACTTAATTTCTTTGTGTATATGTTTTCTTTAATACGTCGCCCGATTTCGGAAAGTAATGCTTTGATTGATTTTAAGGCAATATGTTTGCCAGAAATATTGTACTTGTATCTATCTAGTCAGGCGCTGGATGGACGTAAACTTGCATAAAAAGTGTTAATTTTAGGGGTGTCCTAATAAGCAATATTTTTTAAATGGAAATCTAAACCACTTTTTTTACAACTAAATAATTAAAAATAAATACTAATATTAATTTTTCAAAGAAACTTCCACAGGCTACTTTGTACTAAACTTCTGGATTCCTGCTGCATCGGCTTTTGCTGAGTCGAACTTGCTAACGCTTCGCCAATCATCCCGTTGGCTTGTTCAGAGCATGACTGAAACTGGCTCGCATTTTACTCTGTACCTGTTTATATATTTTTTGATGGGGGCGGAGCTAAATGAGGGGCAAAACCACCGTCTCGGCCACCGTCTCCCGATTCCCATGTTGGTGACAGGTAAAGACCAGAATCGCGGTTAAGATTGTTAGGTCGTTTATAGATTTCTATAGACTCTCGGATTTTTCGGTGGTAGAAGAATTGATTACATGCAAGAATTTTAGTTGTTCGGTAACAGCTGATGAGTTTATCTGTCTTAGTCGTACGGCTCTTTCGTGTTCTTTGAGCCTAGTTGATATTTTTCGTACGGTTTGTCCAATGTACTTTGCTGCATATGCATGGAAATGGATCTTTGAAATTTGGAAATTTATCTTTGACGGACCGAAAATGTCGAGAGATTTTGGATAATTGGTAAATCTGGTTTTGACGTTATATTTCTTTAGGACTTTTGATATGTGGCCAGTGATATTTTGAATGTAAGCAGAAAGTGTAGGATTGCTTTCGGCCTCATTGCTATTGGAAGGTTGTGGTGAAGTGTATTTTTTGATCGAACGCTTAATATCTTTAATATGGAAAATTTTTAGACAGAGAAGAGAGGAGAGCAGAGGTAAGGTGTTTTAATTCTGGGTTCAGTCACCCGGGCTGAGATAGTTTTACGGTTCTGTAAACAAGAGAGTTGATAACCGATGACTTTTGGGTCGGATTGTGATGTGTGTGAACTTTATTTTAAATTAAAAGATACGTTCTTATTTAATTCTTAAAATTTACACACAAAAACTAGACAAAAACATATTATTTTCATTTAAAATAGAAAGCTATCAAGCACATATCAAATTTCAAAAGTTTTTACGCCACAGTTTTTGAAACACGGATGCTATTGCACTTTTGACTTCCTTACGAAAGTTCTTATTTTAGAAGTAACAAAATATTAATAAATGATGTTATAAAACAGATTATAAGGTAATACAAAAAACATTAATACACTAAACCTCATCAATCATAATATATTCAACTTACCGTTTTATTTGAATTAAGAAATTTATTTTGTCTTTGTGAAATATATTTAATAAGAGTCTGAGGCAGGTGCGTCTGATCCTGAATTACTAAACTTACATATTTATAGCTTTGCTTGTTCGTTATGAATTTTTTACCTATTCGAAATGAAAATAATATGTTTTTGTTTGTAAATTTTAAAAATTAAATAATAACGTATCTTGTAATTTAAAACAAAGTTCACACATATCACAATCCGGCCCAAAAGTCATCGGTTATCAACTCTCTTGTTTACAGAACCGTAAAACTATCTCAGCCCGAGTCACTGAACCCAGAATCAAAACACCTTACCTCTGCGCTTCTCTCTTCTCTCTCTAATAATTTCCACACTGAACCCATAATTAAAACACCTTACCTCTGCTCTTCTCTCTTCTCTCTCTAATAATTTCCACATTAGAGATATTAACCGTTCGATCAAAAAATACACTCTACTACAACCTTCCAATAGCAATGAGGCCGAAAGCAATCCTACACTTGCCACATACATTCAAAATATCACTGACCACATATCAAAAGTCCTAAAGAAGCGTAACGTCAAAACCATATTTACCACTTGTCCAGAATCTCTCGACATCTTCGGTCTGTCAAAGATAAAATTCCATTTGAGATGCCAGAAGTTTACAGCATTCCATGCATATGCGGCAAAGACAAGGAAAAGCCGGACGAAAAATATCAACTAGCCTCAAAGAGCATGAAAGAGCCTTACGACTAAGACAAATAAACTCCCAGCTGTTGGCGAACACAATCACGAAACCGGACATAAAATTTTAACTAAAATTCTTGCATGTAATCAATTCTTCTACCATCGAAAAATCCGAGAGTCTATAGAAATCTATAAACAACCTAACAATCTTAACCGCGACTCTGGTCTTTACCTGTCACCAACATGGGAATCGGTCATCCGAGACGGTGTTTCTGTCCCTTATTTAGTTCCGCCCCCCTCAAACAATATGTAAGCAGGTATAGAGTAAAATACGAGCCAGTTTTAGTCACGCTCTGAAGAAGCCAAAAGGATTATTGGCAAAACGTCAGCAAGTTCGACTCAACAAAAACCGGCGCAGGAGGGATCCAGAAGTTTCGTAAAAAGTAAATACTATTATTTAAATATTATTTTTTTAAATTGTTTTCTAGTTCTTGGCGGTTGACTTATTTGCAGATCAATAAATTATTGTACCAAATTAAGAAAAACTGTTAATTTAGAAATTAATGTCATTTTCAATTATTTTCTTTTACGAGGCCAACTGAGGCATTATATTACTGTTCTGTGTGTTTAATGTTGGTCTAAAATGAGCCGATGTTAGTTATTTGGAATATTTAGGACGAATAATTAGAAGTTAATATTTCAGTTTTAATAAAAATTATTTTTTAAATTTTTATAAAATTATAAAGAACACAGACAACTGCGATTAGAGCGGCATTCGTTACTCGCCAAAGTTAACATTTTCTTCAGACGGCAATTTACAAACCTTCTAGATCCCTTCTGCATCGTTTGTTTATAAATAAAGCTAGCCAATCATCCTGATGACTTCTTCAGAGCTTAAATGAAACTTGCTCACATTCTATTCTGAACACACTTATATACTGTTTGAGAGAGGCGGAGCAAAATTTTTTACTTTTTATCCCTCTCATCCCTTGTACCACTTTGTTTTTGTTTATATCTTAGATTAAAATGAAGAAAAATAACTATTAAAAAGAACACCTTTATCGAATAACTTCTATCAGTTCATTTCAAAATGATTAATGTTACTAAAATATAGAAACGTTTCTTGGTACATTTATTTTGGTTTGATTAAAAGCAAAATTGAAGAACTTGAATCTTTCAATAAAATAGTTTAAAATAGTTTTTATATGTTGCGGACTTTAATATTTTTAATGTTTATATGGAATATTTCTATAATATAAGTATTTATATTCGATATTTTTAATATTTCGAACAACGCTCTAAATAATATTTAGCAGAAATTTTCGGAAGAAAGTAATAGTTCTAAAAATGTACCACGTCTCTTTTCCACTGAAGGTGGAGGGGAGACCGAAGCAATCCTACTATACTTTGCTCACTTTGCTACCGATTGGAAGCAGTAAGTATAGGGCCCAAGCAGCTCAGTTTCTCAAAATGTGGGCGGGGTATAAAAAAAGAAAGTAAATAAATCAAAGGTTGGAAACCGGGGCGCCAGCTAGGACAAAACCCCAACCTATACTGTAAGTTAGTGATAGTGACTAGTGTCCTTGCTCACTAGCCACCAAACAAACTCACAAAGTTAACAAAGTTCGAACCCAAATAACCAAAAACCAAATAAATAAGACCAGCACGTCAGTTTAAATCTCCATATATTGACTGAATTACACACTAAGCACAGGAAGCTTGGTTACAATCGATCGTTTACAAATAATTCTTACAAAAAAGTGTTTCTATAACTGTGTACTTGATCTTTACCCTAACTGAGCTCTTTAATTTATATTGATATTTAAAAATTGAAATATGCATAAAATTAACTGGAACATAAATAGAGGCTTATCTGTGATCAAGTCGGGCAAGCTCTTAGATGGCTGTTCTGTATACTGCCTACGGGTTCACCAGTCAGTGGGATAGACACGAATGCTTATCACTCTTGGACGAGGAGATATGCACTGCAACGTCCTGAACCGAGCTAACTTGAAGACTTGACGAATTCTTGGGTTGCAGAATTCATAACACGTGCCGTCCACGAAGTAAGGAGGCACCAAATCCAATTGAACCGGAACTAGGGAAGCCAGTACCAAATGGGAAGTCAAAACCAGACCAACAAACAAAAACTGGTTCCAAAAGAAAAACCAAAACCAAAACCGCCTGATGATCGTGGGTGGCGGTGAAGAGTGCTAGGTTGGTTAGCTTTAATCCAGCCTAAGCTGTAATGTTGGGGACGTCCAAGTAAAATACTACCAACAAGACGACGATCCGCAACTTCTATACAATTTCAATCCGGTTTAATCCTCGAAAACTACGAGATGCCACAAACTTATTCGGATTGTAATCTTGCAACCACTTGCACCGGCAGAAATGATAAAGCCAAAAGAAGAAAGACCGATGAAGTTTCACAAAGTTCCAAAAGTTTTTTCGGTACAACAGCGAAGGAGTGAACACTACCTGAGTATTGTTGTGCAAATCTTTAGGCATCGGCCCTAATTTTTATTGTTTTCTGTTATTTGGTGAGTCCATTTAACGCATCCAGTTATATATCAGTTTTTGTGGCTGGTAGTTTCCTCCTCTTGGCCCTCTAACCTCAACCATGGGGGACTCTTCGGGGGGCGAGGGCCCCCCGACGGTTAGTGCAGCACAAGAAAATGACAGTTTATCCAATGATTCTCAAAATCGTCCGTTGAACGCCATTATTTGTAACATTTTGCCACCGGATTGCAAAAAAACTGCTGAAGATATTTCCAGGCCCCAGTATTTTGATGTGCCCTCAGGTGAAGAGTTGTCAAAGTTATCGGCAGAGATCCAGATTATCAAGAATCAGTTCGAGCAAGACGCTGAAATCCTGCGGGAAGTTGCCAAAATCTCCGCAAACATAAGAAGGACAGTAAATCGGAAAACAAAATATGAAATCACCGACCAGGGGCCTTTTATGGTGATTCTGGAGGGGATTACAAGTAAGGTGGGGACTCTTCATCCTATGAACTTTGGGAAGTTACTTCAAGCGCAGAAAGTTCAAGGTATATTGAAAATTTCTAGAAAAGGAGCCAATAAAATCGGTTTGGAGTTTAACACCTCTGAGTCTGCAAATAAATTTTTATCTAATGAAACATATTCGACAGCTGGTGGGTATAATAAGTATATACCTCAAAGACTAGTCACTTGCCGAGGGTTGGTGAGGGACATTGGTGACTTAATTGATGAGGATGATTTTTACTCTGAGGCAGAAGCCAAGGTTAACATCGGAAGATCGCTAAAGCGCGTTAAGATTGTTAATGTTCGCAGACTAACTAAAAGGGTCAAATGCCCAGGTGTTCTGCCTGGCACTTTTGGTTTCAAGACAGTTCCATCTAATGATTATATAATAACATTTGATGGTAAAACTCTCCCAGAATCAATCAGTATCTATAAAAATGAGTGTTCAATCGAAAAATATGTTAGTCCTGTTGTCTTATGTATGAATTGTTGCAGGTTTGGTCATTGGAAAAACCAATGTAAAAGCAAGGGTAGATGTAGTTTCTGCGCTGGAGATCATCCAGTATTTCATTGTGAACTGAAAGAACAGTTTTATAAGAAGAAACCATGCCCGACAGACCACTTAAATCATGAAGGTAAATGCAGCCTGGGTAATTGCGAAATATCTCCAAAGCCAACTTGCATCCATTGTAAAGGCTCTCATCAGGCCACTGATAGATCATGTCCGGAAATGGACAGACAGAAGAAAATCAATGAGGCTATGGCATGGTACAACTTATCCTTTTTTGAAGCGGCCAAACTCTTTCCAAGAGGCCCCAAATCAAGTGAGTTTAATCGCTCTAATGAAAATTTCCCTCCTATTCATAACACGGTTGCCCCCGTCTCTCAGCCTTCCCCTAGATCTGCTTCTAAAACCTATTCTGTCATAGCAAAAAAGCGTAAGTCCCCCCAAATAGAATCAGGGTATGATAGGGACGCCCACAGGGATTGTCTCGTGCCGCCGTTGACTAGGCAGAAGTTGAATCACACTAGCAAAAGTCAATCTTCTCCCTCATATTTAAATGATTTATCGTCAGAGTCCGAGATGGACACTGCTTCTCCAGGGGTTTCCTCCTCTGGTGAATTTTGGTATCGGTTTGAAAATTTAAAGAAAAAAGTCTTGTCCAATATACCCAGTAAAAGTGCTTACCATGAAATTGAGAGTCTTTTTGACTCCCTGCCTCCTCCCGGAGGATGCAGGTTTTAATATATGAATGTTCCCAGATCGACAGTCAAATCTTTCTGTTAAAATTAGTAATCTCTCAATTATTCATTGGAACACTTGCGGTATTAGAAGTAATTGTGATAGTATTATTAGACTTATTCGTGACTTTGGTCCGGATATAGTCATGATTAATGAATCTTTTTTACTCCCATGGGAAGAGACATTTATAATTACCGATGCCTCTAAGGGACCAGATGATAGAGTTGGCTTTGGAGTATTTATTCCGTTTCTCAATGTTAGGGTCGGGCATGGGTTGAATAGCGCGTTTTGTATTTGCTTTGCAGAAATGGTAGTTATTAGTTACGCCCTAGATCTTATATTAGATTATAATATTAAACAGGCAGTAGTTGTCTCCGATTCCAAAAGTGCCCTGCAGAGCTTCGGATGCAGTGCGGTTGAAGCTTCCAACAGCTACATTTTACTAGATATTAAAGCAAAGATTGATATTTTAAAGCGCAGACTTGGGGGGAAAATCCGAAAAATCGACATTTAGAACTTCTGAGATTAGTCTCCTTCGCTGGAGAAGATCCGAAAATCCTCGACATTTGGAACTTTAAAGTTTAGTCTCCTTCGCTGGAGAAGATCTGACAATCCTCGACATTTGGAACTTCAAAAATCAGTCTTCTTCGCCAGAGAAGATACGAAAATCCTCGACATTTAGAACTTCAATATTCTGTCTCCTTCCTGGAGAAGATCCGAGAATCCTCGACGGAAGTCGGCAATGGGCGAATGATCCTGGTAGTCGTGCCCAACAGTTATCTGTGAAACGCATCATTGAACTTGAAAGTTCCAAAAAAAGGGTCCGATGGTGCTGGCAATACAATGTTCGGTCCCGACACCACTAGGGTCATTGGGCCAATAATGACAGAAGTTAATCAACGCAAGGAGACCAAATATTACCTAACTACTACCCGCTATTACCAATAATAATCAATTATTACACACACATGAATGAGATTACACAGTAACGTCTTAGGAAATCGAAGACGAACGTGGGCCAAAGGTCGAGTGCTTAACTGTACTAATGGGCGGATCCAGGATTGATATATAACCTCTCCAAAAGGCAACAAGTGTAAATAAATGAAAGCAAGGGACATGAATAGAAATTGCCGTTAGTTCGGAAATAAGAACCGCATTCCGCAGTAATATCTTAAATTGCAGCAAAAATGCAAGGGCTTACACTTATTTACATTTATTTTAGGACAGGCAAACCACATCAAGCAATTAAACAGTTACAGTGTGTTCGAACAGAATGAAGTAGTGAAGAATAATTAGCAATATCAGTAGTTTTGAAGATTAAGACAGTGTGTAATTGTGAGAATAAAACATTTAATAGGTAGTCTCTGAGCATTATTAATCTACATGTGAGAAACATAAGTCGAAATAACCAATGACAACTTGAACCCGTTACAAATGTGCAAAAAATTAAAAAAGATTCAGAAGTTATCGCATAATATTCGCATATAAAAAAACAAAACTTGTTGGTGCCACTTTGTTTAATTAAAACATTATTTTAATAATTTTGCTTAATGGAACTGAAGATTTATGTAATGCAATGTAATGGTAAGTCGTTAGACCTGCCAACTTGACTTGCAGCAGGTTGTAGATTCAATTCCCTGGAGCCTTTGTTGTTTTGTTATTGCATTTGTTGTCCAACTTTTAACGACTGTCTTCAATCTAGTCAGCCGTCTAAGTAAAGACAGACGCGATTTCATTGAATTAAGGGAGAAAAAATTGCAACGAGCGGACAAGTAGTTCAAAAAAGAATGCAATGCAATGAGCGGATTTTCTCAGAATGTAGAGAGCAAGCGAAAAAAAAAGAGTTTCACACAATATTGTTTTAAATTCTAGTATCATTAACATCTAACCACATATAAACAGTACGGCATTGGCAGCAGGATGTAAATATGATTTTTGTAGATTTTGAATTCTTTACCACACATCTCGAAAATAAACTTTTCTTAAGTATTTAATTTTTAAATTTTTAAGTCTTGTGTATTTTTTTGAATTATTTAATTTTTTAATAGAAAAAGTCTTGTGTATTTTTGTTAAGTTTACATTAATTCCAACTTGCCTACTTCTTAGTTTGTCGTAAAAGAAATAAAATTCTCTATTTCCATCGTCTCTACATGCTAGCACCATGGAGCGCCAATCGATTTCTTTCAATATGAAAAACAAAACAACTAGGCGATGCAGACCCGTTACCCCACAATTTCGCGCCAGTCTGGAAAGTTAATAGTGGCAGTGTTTCCACGTAACAAACACGCAAAGTACGCGTCGAAATCGACGAGCTGAAAGTAGAATATATCTTGTAAAATATACAGAAACTGGGTCTCGCGCCTCTACCGGGTATACAGTTGAACTAACAATATACAAGAAAATTCAGTTTACTATGATAGTAGCGTCCTTCAGAAAATTTTTAATTTAGACTACTTAGGTCGTGTATATACCGTTTCTATAGCGTTGCATCCGGGCGTCCATATATGGACGCCCGGTTGTAGACGGACGCTCGGAAGATAGCAAATTGTTAATGTAAGGATGCTTGGAAGATAGTGGGATAACAGCACATGAACCTAACTTTTATTTTAAAACATCCCAAATTAAATAATCAAAATATCAATTCCCTCCTAGAATACCAATAAAATATTTACAGGGACCTAATATTTCTTTAATGATTTTCTAATCAGTGCCGTTCTCTGCTTATGGGCCTCCGTCGTTAGGCTTCGTTTATATGGTCGCAATTCATCAGTACCAAATCCAGGCGTCCACATGTTGTAATTGCGAGTTAAATATTGCTGAACATCCTTCACCTATAATATTTCAAAAATATAGTGCTACCTTCCACAAAATTTTAAATTCTGAAAATGACATAACAATGAATAAACTACAAGGAATTAAATTGGGATTTTTAAAATAGCTAACTGCATTACATCTCCTATATTTATAACCTTTATTCTATTAAGCTGTTTATCAAATTGAGTTGGTAAGTTGGTTAGTTATTAATACATGAAGGTACCTCAATGTTGTTAACACGCCGATGCTTGGCAATTGAAGCAGCCCCATTAAGGCATCTATCAACAAATTCGTCCACATAAGTCAACAATATCTCCTCAACTTCTTCCTCTAAATTCAAAGTTTGGTCAATTTCTCTAACAAGATCCTGCAGCCGCTGCTTAGTTACTACGAGTACCGGTTCATTAATATTAGCGGATGTAGAATTCTGGACTGGTTGTTTCGTTGGTGTTGGATTTTGTATTTGAACAGGTTGCTGAACTGATTGTACAAGATTTGTAGGTAGACCTAAAATTTAACAGCTCCAATCTAGATTTTTTCAACTCCAACAAATATCAACAAGTCAAATTTTATAGATTTGTCCTTTTTTAATGACTACCTGATAATTGTTGATTATCAACCATATTATTATGCTGCATTTGAGTTATTTGGCTTTCATGTGCGATAGAATTCGTGACAATTCCATTATTTTGGGTTATTATAGTATGAGGAGCTTGAACCTGAGTCACTATTATATTTTGCCCAGCGAAATTGTTCTGCATATTCGGTAAAGACATTTTCGTGAAACTAAGCAACCAAAAAACTATCACTCCAAACCATAGAATAATGTAAACATTTAGGTCATAGAATAAGTACAAGTACAATAATGCGTTTCACAATAATTGTTGGGCCCGACTGCTAGGATCATTTGACCATTGCCGACTTCCGTCGAGGATTTTCGTTTTTGGCAATCGATTAATACGTACAAAGAAGAAATATATATAACCAATATTTGCTCAACTAGCAAAAAACAATTTTGACCGATACCAAAAAAAACCGACATCCCCCGGCTTCCACCGCTGACCATTATCACTTTAAAACATTCACTAAACATTAAAAACACTAAATCCACCCAGTGGAGACCGATTTCAAAATTTTTGGGGACGATTACAAGTGATTCTGTATGAAGCGAACGGAGGTTAAACCACCACAGAATCCGTCATAGAATATTTTGGAATAATATGAGTTCTTCTTTTCTGATTAACAGATGATAGTGTACTATGATCTTTTGCCCATGACCCGCACAACATACGAATATCGTGGTTACTCAATAGGGCAAGGTTGGCGCTACCGGTTTGAGCAAGTGCTTTTTGTCGCCTTGCCCATTGTTATACGTCATATCTATTTACGGCAAAGAAAGTCTGTTTCTCTCCCTGTTCGGCCTGCGAAAATTAAGAGGATCATTCGATCGTTTACAAAGGCTTACTGGAACGAAACGAAAGCGGAAAATCCGGAATATCTACAGAAATTCGCACCACTTGTGATCCGCAATATACAAGCTCAAACCTGTGCGTTTTTTTCCGGAAAGATTACAATTTTTCTGCGCAACTTTACAACTTGATCAAAAAATGTAAAAAATGTTCTCGTACAGAAAATGTCCTTGGATCATTTTCGAAATTTTAAAATGCTCGGAGGTCAGATTTTACCGGGTCTAAAAGTTGTCTAAGGCTTTCATCAACTTTTTTGTTATTAAAAAATGTAAGGTACAAGTAGTCTCCACAATAAGAAAGGTAGTAGTAATTTTTAGGCCCATGTTAACTAAAATAACCTTATAATAACTTAAACTTAAATTATAAATTTATTTAATAGCATCAATTTTCGAAGCCTTCCTTACATTTTTTCCATATATCTAGAGTGTGTAGATTTAGCAAACGTAAGTCCAAGCCGTCGAAATAAGTGCAAGATTTGATTACATATTCTGAATGCAAAAAAAAATAAAATTTGATGCAATTGACTTTTTTTTCTTTCTTTCCTAGGAGAGAAATTGAGGTCATAAAGGAACGCACAAGGTATGTAACTACTAGACCTGTAAGCATAGATCAGAGAGTTCCCAGTTTAATCAGATAAATTCTCCACCCACCTATACTACACTGACCAAGCTCTGAACGACCTTTACACATTTATTCAATAAACATGATTTTTTTATATGCTGAAAATGATTGTATTTTTTTAGTATTATGTTTTGCTTTAAATAAACTTTTGTGAAATAGCTTTTCGATAATTTGTGTCCAATTATTTTCTAAAAGTTTATCAAAATAATGTATTGTCGCTAGTAATACCATTAGAGGTGAATACATTTCCGGATTTAATTTGACCTCGTGTGGTACTCGGTAAGAAAATTGCACACCAAATTGTGTTCGAAAAATAAATAATTAACATTTATTTTTCACTTTTCAACAACGTCAAATTTTATCTTCATCAAGTATTAGCAAAACATAAGGTTAGTACGTGTCTAAACATTATACATACTTCATTAGGCATAGACATTCACTGCATTCTACTCATCAAACTCCTGTATTTTCTCATTTAGCAAGAATTAAGGTGTCTAAAGTATATAGAAAACATCTTAGCTTTGCAATTGAAACGTATCAAAATTATCTTGTAAACAAATAAAAACCAGACTGTCAAAAAATCATTCTGTCATTCTAAATGTAAAAGTCGTCAATTTCCACTCATCTGTTACCATGATAGTCTGTTAAAAAACACTACAGGTGTAGAATTTTCATTCTAATGTAGGATTATCGTCTTTTCGTCATTCGTAATTAAAGATATGTTAAACACGTTTATTTTTACATATATTAACCTGAAACTATCTTCTTGCACAGCAAGTAATAAAAGCATTTCTTCTTCATCCGTGCTAAATACCGTTCGTGTTCCCTTTTAGCGAGAGCATCCTACACTTTAGGTACTGAATATATATAAATGATAAATAGTTTCATGAAATGATTCTTACTTTTGAAGCATCACGGCGAACAAATCGGGTAAATGTGGAAAGCATAAAAACAAACTTCGATCGAAGGAAGGGAAATATTCAATTTGTGACCAGTTGCAGGAAAAAAAAAACGCGAAGTAAGCAGTCGTAAACAATTTAATTTTAAAGCAATTACAAAGCTATATAAAAAGTATGCAACAGTCTAAATAAATATATCTCATTGAAACTCTTGACATATACGTTTAAATATTAAATTTAACAATAACTCCCAACCCTATTATGAATTAATTTCTAGAAATGATTCCACGCACAGAATTATGCAATTTTCTGACGATACATGAATTGAAAAAGACATCGTTTATAAGTACTTTAGTGTTTAAAGTACTTTGATCTTAATGATACGCGAACATATACAGAGCGTGTAAGATAAATCGAACATTATTACAATATAGGTCCAAAATATGACCAAAAATTAGATTTTAAAGTCACTCTGTAGATATTTCTATATGAAGGTTGAATATTCATAACATTTATTATTTAACTTTACTAATATGGTACTTCTTAGTACGGCGTACTCACATATAATTTCTATAATCACCATATTGTCAGTTTTATTCTTTCTGTTCGATTGATACAAATCTGTCAGTTTTCATTATAGTATAAAGTGTCTTTATGGTCTGTGACTTTGAAAATATTTATAAAGGTGGTAGAAGTTGTACTGGAAATATAAAACTGACAATGTTCTGGAACATCTTAAACCAAAATTTCTATAAAATATCTTTACCGACATTCACGAAATAGTTATAAAAGATTCATACATCGAATGAAGAAATTATGAATTTTAAATCCAAGATCGCTAAATTTTACTGTCTCAAGTATGCTTTTGTTTTTAGTTTATAAGTGGAGATGAAACAAATAATTATAAGAGCGATTGCAGTGTGAAAAAATGTTGGGAACACCTAGCATCACCTTAGCCTAACAAGTAATATTGCTCCTATACTGTTGTATGTGTCGCGCACTTCAAACAGTATAAATAATCATAATTTTGCAAAAACAACTGAATTTACACGTAATGCACAACTGACCAAGCATTTAGGGGGTTTCCCATTCCACAACGGAGAAAGATCGAACTTTCAAACCATAAAAAAAATAAAACCATAGAGGTAAAATAATAAAAATTATATTTAACTAATGCAAATATATATATTCTAAGTAATTACACACAATTCCTGTCTTGCATAACTTCTAAACAAACAACAAATTAAAAATTAACACATTATATGTACAAAAACAAACATGAATAAAACGATACCGACGACAAATTACATGCAATAAATTTGAATATGAACATTTGTAGATGATAGGTTCATTTTGGAAAAAATACTTGTAATTTTACTAAACCGAAACGATTACATTTTACACAATCCTTGGGCATAATTAAATAAAGGGTGCGGGTTAACTGATAATGAGTTTAATGTTTAAAAATCAATAAAAGTACTTATAAAAATTGGACAGTTTCCGTAACAGTTAAGATTTAAATACCTAGAATACAATCTTTAAATGTTTGTTACCTGAAGATTTTAATCTTTCTTCTCATCAGGCTTCTTCCCTATTGGGATAGCTGCCCTCACCCTAAAAATAAATGAAAATTTATTCTACTCAAATAAGTATTCGGTGCTTCAAAGTGCCACAAAGTGCTTTACAAGAGTAAAGACAAACGTAATATTGCGAGTGGCGCTTAATGCCCATTTTTGTCTTGTTCATCTTCTATGGCCAAAACAAACACTATCACTGAATAGAAACATTGGAAGCAAGGAAGTAATATTTGCCTCTTCATCTAACTTCTCGACATTTCCGGGCTCTTAAGTCTTACGAGAAACAAAAACGTATTAAGCATCATTTTCTTTTTGAGCGGTGACTATCGAGTTTGGTTTTTGGGATTACTTTTCGATTTTAAGTGATTTTTGTGATTTGTTACTAGAGTGTATAACAGACTTTGCAATAATTATTATTTGGACATTTTATTTTCAGCGGTTTGTTGTTAAAAAGAGAATAAATTGTTTACTAGCACAAGCAAATGTTTATATATATGGTCTATTTAAGATATTTAGACATTTAGGCAAACAAACAAAAATTATTACTATTGTTCTTATTATATATACCACATGGAGATTTCTGTTTTATTCTTTACAATTCTTTAATAACTGATTTCACCATATCAAACCTAAATTATGGAAAACGGCCAAAAAGGAAGAAACAAGACTATCTTTGAACAAGATTTCAGTATGACAAATCTGGAAACCAGAAGGATCGTTCTATTTTAATTGCCCTCCACCTCCACCATTACGAAATTACTAGGTACTCACTTTGAAGTAATCTCGCAGAGCTTGGTCCTCACGATTTGAAGATTAGCGTCGATCTGTGTTTTGTTTGTTTCGTAGACTTTTGGAAGGGTAAACAGAGCGACCCACGCTAAAATTAAAATTAAAAATTAAATTTTTACCAAAATTCCAAGGCAATTTTAAAAAATAATTGACAATTTGCATAATATTGCGAATAAAATATTTTAGCGTAGCGACAGAAAAGGTTATATAATTTAGAGAAAATGTACTGTAAAGCAGTAAAGTTGCCTCAGGTTTAACAAACTCAGTTTGAGAAAACAGATCAGTGGGATATATCTTGCATTTTAGTAGATACTTATGGAGTATTTTTAAGGGCAACAGCACAGATTCACATGCTAAGCACTGTCGCTAAATACCATAGTTTAAGCCCGGAAAACAACATTAGACTAGTTTTATTAATATGCAGTATAGGGTACAGCTATGGAGCTATCGAAGTTTGGGATCCGAATTGGCATTTAGTTTATAAGCTTGCTTCAATTTTAGAGTGACTTGATTATTGGAAACTATTTGTCTGATTTTACGATCAATCAATAGTGTCTTGTTTAATAATAGCTTTGAAAATATTAGAATAGAAAATATAAAAAAACGAGTTAATAGTATTTGTGATCAAAATCAAAATATACCTTGCAAATTATAATTATAATAGTTGCACAAAGTTTTCAGTAATTTAAACTGGTTATTTGAGTATGCCATAATAGGAGCGTCTGAATATTTGTATTCCGCATTTCAAGTTTGGTCTTAAATGATGCCAAAATCAGATCTAATACAGCCACCCATTTGAACCAATTTAAAAAATGAGGTTTCTTATTGGAAAAAGTTGCTTATAGGGAAAAAATACTTACCGTCTGGAAAATATTTTTAATATTTCTTTTACTAACTAAACTGCGTAGAATAAATAAATTCAGTTTTATTTTGTAAAAGAAAACATTTATTTATTATTATTATCATATAAGCGTAGTTATTATTTATAATTAAAAAAACAATCAAAATTTAATAAATATTTAGTTTAGTACAGCACTAATTGCCCAAACAAACAAAAACAACTTTGGAATTCGGGTGAACAGTAAACTTATTCTCAGACTCATTGCAAGTTGTATGTATACTAAGAGAAGAGCTTTTACGGAAAGGTTATTAGATTCCAAGTACCGAGTTGCTGAAGGTATGAATATATCATTATACCAATAGCTAAAAAGTACATACGTTTGCCAAGCATTTTTGAATGATTTGTAAAATACTGGCAAATCCATATTTTTCAAACAAAGAGGCAATTTCCATTTCCCTGGCATCATCAAATCTAATTTATGCGTACCTGTTACGTTGACGCATGGTATAATTGTTACTCTTTCATTGCTTTTCTTCCAACAGCGGATTTTTCAAAATTTGTAATGTTAGCTTTATTGGGTAAGCTTTTATAGACGGGACCTGTTTCGTCGCAATTATGTCTGTTCAGGCAAAAAGTCATTTTTAAATGAATTAGCTAGCTCCATACTCTCTCCACCAACAGACAAAATCCGTATACTGTGGCGTTTTTTAAATTTCGCTAACCATCCATCACTTGCTACAAAAGTTTCAGCTTCATTATTTCATCTATTTACTTCCAGTACATTGTCAAATTGTCTTCATTCGCTGAAGCTATCTTCATTTTTACTTATTTACTTATTGTACAAATATCACCTTTATATTTGTTAGAAATGTTTGTTTTCTTCCCATTTTGTCCTTTAAAATGATTAGTTTAACTTTTAACGAAATTGACCTGAATTGTCTGTTTTTTGTGATTCATATTTAATGGTTGAATTTAAGGCACAAAAATATTAATTATTTAATTAATTACTTAATTATCAGAAACTAACAGAATTCAAGCAACTATTCTATTTAACAGAAATTCACTTCGACACTGGCAGCACAAAACACACTTCTGAATTGGCCTAAACTGAACACAAATATTTAGGTTTAAAAACATAAGTTGCTTATACAGAACAGTTGAACCAAAAAAATTGCTTGTATAGAGGTTGCTTATATAGAGCATTCACTGTACTTACAAAGTAATAATTGCATTGTACACTATTGATAAATTAGTAATCCAGTCCGTTAGTGTCTAATAATTTAAAGAAGTGCCAAAACTTATATGTCAAATTGTTTTTTTTAATCCAAATGTTTAGTTACCAATCATAATGGCCAATACTACGTCAACACAGTGAACAGTTAAGAAATGTTCACAGGATTGAAATTTTGACCGACAATTGCAATTTTGAGATCACATTACACGGAGACTCTTGTGTCTGATATGGTTGGCACAATTTTTTATTAAAAAAATTAAATAAATTATATGGAAATATCGCGTCTATTAAAAGTGGAGGCGAAGAAAAAAATCTACTTTGGTAAATTGCATATTTTGAATAAATTTTTGTGAAGGAATAATATTGCCACCTTTGCAGAGCGACATAGCACTTACCAAGGATAATGAGGGTCATTCCGTTAAACCATGCACCTAGATAAGTAAGGGTCCACAACAAAACTCCAAATTTGATCGAATCGACGAGGTCCTCGACTAGGAATAGCCTGCGCAGTTCTACAACGCCGGCATTTAAATGCGCCACCGCCACTTCGGTAACTTCCTTTACTTTGTCGTGGGGCAGAGCGATGTTTAATTCCAGTAGCTCCCTGAAAAGTAGAGGAAAACGGTTAACAACCAATAGAGAAGTGCAAAAACGACGCTCACTTGAACGGGTGACCGTCGCCTGTCTTCTGCACAGCCTGAATGATATTTTTGTAGATTCTAAAGGAGATGGTACCGACTAGGACCACTAGGGAAAGGTACGCGACTACGCTGATCAGGGAGAAGTACGTGAGGGCCAAGAGAATGACGAACACTCCTCCGAATACCGGACCGGACTTCTTCGGATCGCGCCAGTAAATCAAGCTCTCCACTGAAATAAAAAAAAAGCTAATTTAAAAAAGTTACCAAAATACAAACAACGTTTGCAATGTCTGGAGATGGATCAATCCTTAACCTATTTTTAATAGCAAATTGTAGTATCTTAACTATTAATCAAAAAATAAAACAATTTTTTTTCATAATTTGGTAAAGACGGAAAGTAATAACAGTCTCATAATTTTCTCAGGCTACACACACTATTTACAAATCTTCTGGATTGCTCCCGATTCGGCTGTTGTTGAGTCGAACTAGCTGACGTTTCGCCAATCACCCTAACTGTTTGAGAGGTGCGGAGATAAATAAGGCCCGAAAATATGGTTTCGGATGACCGATTTTCATATTGCTGACAGAAAATTGGCGAAAAGACCTGATTTTTCCTTAGTAGAAGCATTGCATGCAAATAAAATTGTATGTCCGGTTGCGTGATTGTATTCGGCAACTACTGATGAGTTTGTTTGTTGTAGTCTTAAGGCTCTTTCATGTTCTTTGAGCCTAGTTGATATTTTTCGTCCGGTCTCTCCAATGTATTCTTTGCGCATATGCATAGGATGCTGTAAACTCCTGGCATCTCAAACGTTTGAAGATGTTTAGAGACTTTTGAATAAGTGGTAAATCTGGTTTTGACGTTATATTTCTTAAAAACTTTTAACATGTTGTTAGTAATGTTCTGAATGTAAGGACGTATAACAGCAGCAAGTATGGGGTGTGGGACTTCTTGTGTTTGGAAGGTAATTTGTGATGGAACGCTTAATATATTTAATGTGGAAATTATTAGAGAGAAGAGCAGAGGTAAGGTGTTTTAATTCTGTGTTCAGTGACAGTGAATTCTTATTATAGACAACACAACAATAGACATAGTTAGAAGTGTATTTAGAAACATTTAAACCAAAAAGTTTTTGCAACATAGCCTTAAATTTTGCAACCTAGAACTGCGCCAAGGAACTCAGAAACGGGAACAAATAATTAACAGTCTAAAAAGAAGAACGGATCTAAATATGCAATATTATGGAAGGAAATAACAAGGAGAGCACTAATCCTGGGAGGAGAAAAACCTCTTGGCTTAAAAATTTGTGGGAATGGTTTGGAATAACATCAAACCAAACTATTCTGTTCTCGAATACCTCACTCTGTTTTCTCATCCCACCTACTAATCCAATATTGTGAAAAATATGTATGAATGCTTAAGGATTGATTAAACAAGACACCTGTCTACTTATAAAAACGTCAATATTTTCGTTAAATGATAAAATTAACAGTGAAACAGTATATTTAGGATATTAATTAAAAAAAACAGGATTTAAAAAATATCAAAAATCAAACAACAACTGAAAAATGTTAGTACATTCGTACATTTTCGTCTTAAAATTAAAAAACATTACTTTTTTGTAAAGTTTTCCAGTATGAATTAAAAAAAAAATTAACGCATTCTAAAAAAATATTTCTTTTTTACTTCAATTCATAATCATACTTTATAGGTGATCAATATTCACTGCAATTTTTACTGAGCCTTTTAAATGTTGAATTTTTTAGTGCTTTTTGAGACACCTGAACGCAAAATTATTTTTTTCTACTCCCTTCTGTAAAATGCCTAATTCCACACCGACCTAGCGTGCGGGAAGCGTCACTTTACTACTTCAGTTTCGTTTCCCACGAATCTGAGCCACTTCGGATATTGCCGGGATTTTGCCGCACGGGTTGGGAGCAATCGGATGTGTTCGGACATATTTCCCACGCCTTGAATTGTGACGTTTGGCAATTCTGACGGTCATGTCAATAAATGAATTTGTTTTGCGAAAATGCACCCAAAAACTAACGGTCGAAGAAAAAGTATAGTATGCAACAAATTATGTGATAGAATATGCTGATGAAATGCTAGCTTCAGTATTCCAAGTATCTGCGACGCGACGTTTGCATAAAAACTTTATATATATGAGAATAATATACTTTGTGAATAGTTCTCCTTGTAACGGATTAAATAAAACCTCGTAGTTCTGTTTGTAAAACAAAAAAGGTGTTTTTTAAAAACGAGACCCTTCGTTCGAAAACCTTAACTGGCGCAGTCGTGACGGATTTGGGGTAGTTTTCGGTCAAAGCCATGTCATCGGGACGATTTGATCGCGAAACGTGGGTTTCAACCCTTAGACTCCAAAACGAACCAGTGATAGACTGTCTGACAAACCCAACGTGATTGAGTTCGACTGAGGGCAAGGAAGGCAAGAAATCACCCTCGCAAGCAGTGCTACGCAAGGAAAATTCCAATAGAAAGAATAGGCTGATGACTAAGAGAAATCAAGGTTAGTGCCCAAAATTCCTATTGTTCTCCTTTCATCTTCCCTAGTTAGGACGGTGGAAATAATTTTAGGATTCTTAGTTTTAAGTTCAATTTTAAGAAATTTCAAAATCAATTAAATTTATGAATGAAGATAAAGACGTCGACAATTTAAGTGCGTTTTTTACTTCGTTAAATTTAGTGGAAAAGAAAGTAGAGAATAGTCAAATCAATTTGAAAATGAATTCTAATCAATCGTCAAATTCCGGTGTAAATTACACTTTGTTAAAAATGTTTATAGATAGTATTCTGCCATATAATGGTGATCCCAACACTTTAAATAGTTTTCTATCAGCTGGAGATTTCCTTTTTGATACATATGGCCAAGGAAACGACGAAACTTTAAAACAATATTTGTTAAGGACTATACGAATGAAACTTGTTGATCGCGCACAAATTCTAGTAGGCTGTAGAATGGAGTTAGTAACGTGGGACAATATTAAAGTAGCTTTGTTAAATTGTTTTGGCGATAGACGAAACAATGTTTAGAAAGGATTTGTTTATGGCCACCCCCTTTAAAAATGAACATCCTTTAGCTTTTGGGAAAAGATTACAAGTTTTAAAGAGTATCCTTGCTCAAAAAATTAATGCATTTCCATAAAGCAAAGTAATTCATTTACGTCAATACGATCAAATTTGTTTAAGGACGTTTATTAGAGGATTACCAGGACAATTACAAAGTATTATAAGACTTAAAAATCCAAGCTGTATAGAATTAGCTATGACCCAAATTATTGAAGAGAAAAATTTTCAATATACACAAAATATCTTCAGAACTCCAATTCAATCAAAAGTTTTGCCTAATACTTCTATCGAACCCGTTAAACAATTTTCACAAAATCCAAATTATTTTAGTAACCAAAATTTTAATTATGTACAACCGATTCGCCTTACAAATAATTTTCAAAACAACAATCACCATAAGCAAAATTTTAGAATTAGGCATGATCAAAATCAGTTTACTCCCAGACTAATAGTTTTCCCAGAGGTCCAATTAATATGCCCCAACCACGCGAAGTTCCAAGAAATTTTCCTACAAATAGGCAAGTTTTTGGCCCACCTAAAAACGTATTTAGACCGACAGGTCAGGTACCTAACAAAAAACCCGAACCTATGTCAACAAGAACAAACTATACCATACCACGCCAAAATAATCAAATTAACCATTTCAAACCTACTGGCCCTAGAAATTTTATTTCGCAAGAATTATACCAAATCGATGAAAGTAACGCGGTACAAACAGATGAAACATCTGCGGTATTTCAAAATGAAAATATTCACCAAGAGGAATACTCTGAAATTGAATTTTCAAATCAAATTGAATACTTTAATGACACTCAAAATTTTGACGAACACCCTGAAATTGAAAATCAAATCTCTCAAAATTTTACAATAACGAGCCAATGCGACTCAACGAAATGACATTAGAAATGTATCCCAAAATTAATAATAGTTTACCGTACATCCAGATTAAAGAACCCGCAATTAAACTTTTAATTGATACTGGTTGTTTTCACTCGATTCTTCGACCTTCCATTGCAGAAAAATTTTATTATGAAAAAATATATCATTCCCCAACTATTATTAAAACAGGAACTGGTGAAAAGGAAACTCTATTTAAAGCAGATATTCCGGCTTTCCCAGAATTAAAGGCTAATACCAACCTATCTTTTATTCTTTTTGACTTTCATAAATTTTTTGACGGTATAATAGGATTTTTCTATCGATCTTGTCAATAAACAATTAAGGAATAATACAACTAATATACCAATTTTATTTAGACAACCACAAAACGAAATATATTGTATTACTGTGAATGCACACGAAATTGTTAACGTAAGAATTCCAGTAACACAAAACAATGATGTTATTATTCCCGAGCAAGTCATAGAAGGTCTCTATTTTCCAGAAACACTTACTACTGCAAAAAACGGTTTTGCGCAAACAGAAGTTTTTAATTACAACTGAGAAAAATATAACGTTAAATTTCCCACAACCTCTAAATGTTTTATCTTTTCCGGACTTTCATAAAGAAAATTTTGAACTTTTTAATTTAGAACACATCTTACCAAAACATAAAGAACAATTTAGTAAATGCGACATTTCCAAAATAATTCGTTGCGAACATTTAAATTTAGAAGAAAAATCTGCTATAGCAAGTCTTTGTAAAGAATATAATGATATTTTCCATTATGAAAACAAAAAGTTAACATTCACCAATAAAATCAAACATTGTATAAGAACAACGGATGAATTGCCTGTATACACTAAATCATATAGATACCCCTTTATCCATGAATAGGAAGTTCAACGGCAAATTAACAAAATGTTAGAAGAGGGGATCATTAGACACAGCCAAAGCCCTTGGAGCAGCCCCATTTGGGTAGTCTCGAAGAAACCTGACGCCAGCGGCAAGCAGAAATGATTGTTTGTGACTTTCGTAAGGTAAATGAGAAAACGATAGACGACCGCTATCCATTGCCTAATATAAATGATATACTCCATAAATTGGGACGGTGTAATTATTTTTCAACTATCGATCTTTCATCTGGTTTTCATCAGATCGAAATGGATCCGGAACCAATTGAAAAAACAGCTTTTACTGTTGAGAATGGTCATTTTGACTTTGTTAGAATGCCTTTTAGATTGAAAAACGCCCCCGC